AACAAGAGAGAACTTTCGATTAAGGCTAGTCGTTTAAGCGTTCACATAGGTTATGAATCTATCGTATAATAGCAATAACTTTAATTAAATTAAAATTAAATTAAACTTTCATTTAACTAATTTATTAATCAATTTTAAATAAAATTTAATAATTTAAATTGATTAAAATAAATTGAAATTTGTATAATTAATCAATTTTAATGTAAAGTTTTATTAATTGGATAATTGATTAATTTAAAATTCTAATTTAAATAATTAATTTAAAAATAAAACTCTAATCAATTAAAACTTCAAATATTTAAAAAAATTAATTTAATTTAATTAATTGAGTAATTTTAAAATATATTTAAAATTTCAATTGATGATCTGAGCAGTTAATTTCAAATTAAAATTTAAACTTTAATTAAATTTATTTGATTAATAGCCAAATTAATTAATCCAAACTAATTCAAAACTTAATAAAAAAGAACAATGTTTGAACTATACAAACCTAAGTATAACTCACATCAACTAAAGTCCAACTCCTAAAACTAAAACACCAAAAAAGCTCAAAATAAAGAAAACTCCAAAAACTCTAAACTCTAAGCTCTTCAGCTTCTTGCAAGCTTCAGCTCCTTGCAAGTTCTAGCTCCTGCAACTGCTAGCCACAAACACCTGCAAACTCTAACTGCAACTGCAAACTCCATCTCCTACAGCTGTTAGCCTTGAACACCTGCAAACAAGTAAACAAAAGTCAACGCAGGGTGGTAAACAAAACTAGTACTGAAAGAGAAAAAAATGGTACTGAAACAAAACTAGTACTGTAGGTAAAACTAAGTAAAAAAACAAAACAAACAAGCAAAGCTTGTACTATCGATCAAACACTATTGCTAGAGGTAAAACTACAGTAGACAACACTAGAAACTAAGGGATAAATGTAAGGATGTTATTGCTATAAACAAATACTAGCACTAGTGTTGAGACAATGAAAAGTACAAAACTAAGTGTCTACTGCTAAATCCTCACTAAACCGTGGTTGACAGGCAACCTCTACTTTAATTAAGGTATTAGGAAAAACTTCCCAGGACAAATAATATGTCCATGATAGGCCTCGGGCTACTTTCAATAAAAGTCGTAATACTCAACTTCTTAAATGTGCGGGCTACTTCCAAGGGAAGCAGTAACACCCATCGAAGTGCAAACATACGGGCAACTTCTAATGGAGCCCGTAAGACCCAGCCTAAACCAAAAACTACGGGCTACTTACAATGAAAGTAGTAAGACCTAACTTCTTAAATATGTGGACCACTTCTAAGTGAACCAGTAAGACGCATGCTAGGGAAACTTCTAAGTGAACAACCCTAAACCCAAACAATTAGGCAACTCGCAAGTAGAGCTATAAGATTTGTCCAAAATTGAAACCACGGGCTACTTTTAATAGAAGATGTAAGACCCAACTTCTCAAACTATCGGGCTACTTTCAATGAAAGAAGTAATACCCAACTTTCAAACATACGAGCAACTTTGAATGGGGGTCGTAAGACCCAACCGAAAAGAAAAACTACGGGCAACTTCCAATGGAGACCGTATGAGCTAACCTAAACCAAAAACTATGGGCTACTTTCAATGAAGGCCGTAAAACCCAACTTCTTAAACATGTGGGCTAGTTCTAAGTGAAGCAGTAAGACCTGAATGTTAGGGAAACTTCTAAGTGAACAATCCTAAACCCAAACTATCAGGCAACTCGGAAAAAGAGCTATAAGACCGGTCCAAAATTAAAACCACGAGCTACTTCTAATAGAAGCAGTAAGACCCCACCTCTCAAACAATCAGGGTAGCAAGACTCAACTTTCAAACATACATGCAACTTCCAATGGAATTCATAAGACCTAATCTAAATCCAAAATATGGGTGACTTCCAATGGAAGCCCTAAGACCCAATCTTAAACCCAAACATATGGGCAACTTTCAAAGGAATATGTAAGCCCCGACCTTAAACCCAAATATATGGGCAACTTTCAAGTGGCCCAATCCTAACAGAACCACCATAATACTAAAACCAACATCTATTCACTTCTGTTTACTTGGGATCCCTAAGAGAAGGCAACCCATAACTACTAATCAGATTCTCTGGATACTACGATCAATGATTGTTAGTGTTAGTAAACTAAAACGTACGGTATTCTTAGGACGATGGAACCATGAGATCTTGATCGGGTATACCTTCATCCCCCACAAACAAGATTAAAACACTTGCACAGTTGCATATCTAAGCATTAATTCATCCTTAATCGAGAGTTCTTTTCTTTGTGATAAGAGGAGTAATTAGCTATGAGGGTTTGCGCTCATAAAAAGTAAAGACCAAGCTCTCATGATACCACCTAATGGAGAAATATGGTTAACTACAATCTTCTTTAATGAAAATGGAATAATGTGGCTATAAAGCGGGATTCATGCCTACTTATCATTTTTCTTGAGCAAACAGTAGCTCCAATGGAAGATAAAGATTAGAGAGAATCGTCTTCAATTGTTTTAGTAAAGTAGATGTATTAGATTTGACTTATGTTAAGAAAGGTAGAGGTAGACTCAAAAAGACTTGGTTAAAAAATATTAGAAATGACTTTTCTTTATTAGCTTTAAATGAAAATTTGATTCTTAACACAATGGAGAAAAAAATGATTCATATAGCCGACCCCACATAGTGGGATAAAGGCTTGATGCTTTTTTTGTTATTGGTTATAATAAAAAATTTAGTTAGACATTGTATCTACTTAACTTTTTCTTTTAATTTAAGAAAAAAGATGGAGGTCACACTAGAAAGAATATATGAGCTTAAATTGTCTCGCCAATATCAAGTGTAATTTAATGTTTCATCTGGATATTTGTTCAAAATTAATTTTATTTGGCTTTTAGTTGTTTCCTCCATGGCATAAGAAATAAAGTGTTACCATCTATATATTATTTTTTTAATCAAGAACTACATTTGTAATTTTTCTTGAACTACGTGTGCCTTTTGAACCAACTCCTATGGTCCCCTTAGCATCTTCACTTTCAGAAATAGAGCATACATCGTAATTCTTATATAGTTCAAATAACAAGTTTCGTACAAGTGAGATATTTCTCATACTTTCTTCTTTGAAGTATATCATACAATATGCAAAGTCAGTCACAACAAATTTCATCCTAGAATCCATAATAACACTAAAGATCATAAGGAGGTTGCATTCACTCCAATATTTATCAAAATTTTCGTGTTAATTTCATCATGATGAATGAATAAGTCTAAATTGCACCTTCATCCCACATATTCTTTATAGTATAAATCTATGAGAGAAATAAGTTAGTTGTTCATTATTTAGTTCCTGAAATGATATTAGTAGCTTCATTGAAGAACCCCAACACATCACAAAGCTTCTAAAATTTTTCCCACCCTTCCCCTGTTGGATAATTTAGTATGCGACTTCTCTTTCACTATAAGAAAAAAAAATCTTCTCTTAATTATAATGCTATTATCAATATAGATCATTTAGAGTTCCAATGAGTTGAACAATCCATTACTAGATTCTTGTAGGTTATTGCAACTGTTGCATTACATCACCAAATCCTACCAACCTTGCTTCAAAGGCATTTACAAAGTTTATTGTGTCTCTCATCTTGTCAACAATATGCTCAATATAATTTATCCCATCTTCATCATTAATTTTATGTTATTTTCTTCATCTACTTAACATCATTTTTATGATTTTCATATGCTCTCCATCATTATCGTCAACATCAACGCTATCATTGAATTCTTATTTCCATTCTAAACACCATTCACTGGCTCAATAATACCATCTTATACATTTATCGGTGTTGACATTCTAAAGAAAGCATACCAAAAAAGGAATAGATTAACTATGCTACATTTAAGATAGAAATATTACACATCAAGAATAAATTAATTCAAAATCCTTAATGAAAAAAAAAAAAATGTTGTCCTAAATATTCTGATGAATAAATTGTCTAACATAACGATGATAGGCAAAGTAATTGAAGTCTTATATTTTTCAACCTAATTATTTTGTAGGAAATTAAGAATTGTAATAAGATTTTCTCAAATACCTAAAAGAAAAACTTGGGAACAGTTGTCAGCAATCTCATAGCAAGAGCTAGGGTGCAGGATGATTCCTCCTATTATCCTACTCTCTAACCTAACCGTCGCTCCAGTCCTAAACACTTGAAAAGATCAAAAGGACTTTAGTTATCTTGGCTTCCTTCAAGAGAAAACAAAAGAAAAAACCCTTCTGTTGCTTCAGAGGCATTTTATGCTTGTGTGACTGGCGATTGCACAACAATGGCAGCCAGCGAATAAAAATTCCATCCTTAGTCTCGATCGTCTGAGTCACCTACACTCATACCCGAGTATCCAACCACTGCTCCAATAGTCCAGTCTCCTATAGCAAGCGAAATCCCCCAAGGGTATGTAAGAGCGTCATTCTTCGAGCCATTGGAGTCCTTGACACACTTACCCGACTGCGTTGGTGCGATGCGATGCAAAGATCCCTAAGGCACACAAGGAAGAATAATGGGACTACGTAGAAATAATTTACAAGGGTTAAGATGTATTATATAATGCAGTGTTAAAATAATTTCTAAATATATTTTAAGTTAATCGAGTGGCTCAATAAGCTTACGAGTCTGAGCTCGAGCTCGTATGATATGTAGTTTGGCCATGTAAATATTTTCATACCAGCTTTTTGGTCTATTTGCTTTCCAAAAGCCTAAGATATCACAATTTTTTCATAATTTGTGCATTGAAAAGCTCTATATTGTATGTGCGCCTTCATCATGGCTTCATTGTTATGGGCAACGCACTTGCAAAGCAGCTTGTCCATTTCGGTGAGAATGGCACTGAATTTTGTTACAGTCTAAACATATCAGCACAACATTACAAAATCAACGATTTGTTAAGTATCAATTACTGCAAATTTATATTAAATACAATTTGCTGAAAATGGACTTCCAGTCTGGTATAGAAACCTTAACAAGGTATTATGTAGCCAAGTCTTTTGTTAAAGATTGCGTGGTTGACACTGCATCGTAATCCTGTTGGTAGGATTCAAAGAGGATGACGAACAACTGTGAGCAGCATCACTCGTTGCAAATGGCGTACAGGGTTGCCCAAAGGCTCATTTGCTTGAAGTATTCCAACCAAGGTGAGGATGACGTAAGAAGGGCTTTGGAAAATCTAAAAGAGAGTTATATGGAGGGTAGGTTAACTTTTTAATTTTTTTTAATAATTTCAATTATATCTTTTAGGGTGACTAAATATAAACTTCTATGGGTTTTTTCGAACTCAATTGATGAAGTTTTAAACAAACCAGCAAAGCCATTAATATTCATTTTTTTATTTTCTCAATCAATCGTTTTTGCATTGGACCATTTTATTAAAAGAATTGATGCAAAATATTGGCTTAGCTTGTTAAATTGGGCCTTATGGTAATCTTGGATCACTGATGTCATCAATTGATGGTTCAGAGGGATTCTTCTATATAATTAGAAGAGTTAAAACCAATTTTATAGTGGATTACTTCGAAAATTTGTGAGCTATGTTACAAGTTTTGTAATTTGTCTAGAAAATTCAAATCCAACTTATTACTAATTTATCTCCCTCTACAAGTATCCAAATCTAGAAAATTTGGGCTTGATTTGAAGAAAATGTTTTAGTTTATTTCTTAAAAAATTAGTAATGGTTTGAGAGGTGTATGTGGTTCAACTGTACTCTAGAAGGGGCGATGGTCAGTTCTATTCAAAACAAACCACTGTTAGAAATTTGGTTGTGATTTCCTATCTAATGGGTGAAATTACAGATACTACTATATAACATCGATGCTTGACTCTCAACAGCATTGTCGTCTCCTCTCTTGATGCCTGATACATGACATCGACTCCCGATTCTAGGCATCATAATATTAATCATTTTAAGCACAAATTCTAGTTAAATGACTTATTATTTCTAAATTATTTTAATAAAAATTTTTGTTTTAATCGATTATTAAAACCAAAGTTAAAGAGGCTTTAAAGAAAATGAAGTGTGTAATAGTTGTTGGACCTGATGATATTACAATAGAAGTATGGAAAGGCTTAGGAGATGAAGGAATTTCTTTGCTTACTAAACTTTTTAATATTTTTTTTAAGACTAAAAAGATGTCATATGAGTGGAGAATGAGAGTGTTGATTCCTATTTTTAAGATTAAATGTGATGCACAAGATCGTACAAATTAGAGAGGAATTAAGTTAATGTGTCATACTTTAAAACTATGGGAGAGAGTTAACGAGTATAGATTGGGGCTTGATACTAGCGTTTCTCAAAATCAATTTGGATTCATGTCGGGTAGGTCTAATGTGGAAGTTATACATTTAATGAAAGGTTTGATGGAGAAGTAGAGAAATTAAGGAGGATCTACATATGATATTTATTGATTTAGAGAAAGCATATGATAAAGTTTCAAGAGAAGTGTTGTGGAGAGTTCTAGAAAAGAAAGAAGTTAATAATGCTTATATTCAACTCATTAATGATATGTATGCAGGAGTTGTTACTTGTGTTCAAACACAAGGTGGTTTGACCAAGTACTTTTCTATTTTAGTTGGATTACATCAAGGATCATCCTTAAAAGCCCATGTCTTTTTGCTTTAGTTAGGGATGTTCTCACTAGACATTTGCAAGAGGTTGTACCCTGGTGTATGCTTTTCGCTGATTATATTCTTCTTGTTGATAAGACTAGATCAGAGGGGGTTAAAGGTAAACTTGAATTATGGAAGTCAACCTTAGAGTCTTTAAAGGCTTTCATTTGAGTAGATCTAAAACAGAAGATATGAAGTATAATTTAAGTAATAATTGATCTAGTGGGGGGGATTGTGACTTTGGGTTATCAAGTTATTAATAAGGGCACTCGATTTAGATATCGTGGGTCTATTTTTCAGAGTGATGGTGATATAGATGGGGATATTATTACTAGAATTCAAGTTGGATGGTTAAAGTGGAGGAATGCATCGGGTTTGTTGTGTGATAGTAACATTCCTCTCAAACTTAAGGGAAAATTCTATAAGATTGTAGTGAGACCTGCAATGCTTTATAGTGTAGAATGTTGGCCACTAAAAGAGAAGCATAATATTAAGTTAAGTGTTATAGAGATGAGGGTGCTCAAGTGGATGAGTGGCTTTACTCTTAAAGACAAGATACAAAATGAGCATATACGTGAAAAGGTTGGAGTAGCTTCAGTGGAAGATAAGATTAGAGAGAGTTGCCTTAGATGGCTTAGTTGCATAAAACGGTGGTCTTTCGATGTCCTGGTTAGGAAAGTAGATGTATTAGATTTGACTTATGTTAAGAAAGGTAAAGGTAGACTTAAAAAAATTTGGTTTGAAAATATTAGAAATGACCTTTATTTTTTAGATTTAGATAAGAATTTGACTCTTAACAGAACACAATAGAGAAAAAGGATTGTTGACCTCTGTAACATAATACAACCAAAGAAAAAAAAAAGATTACATGTAGCCAAATCCAGCCCGAATCGTTGCTCTCGTCGCTTCTACAGTCGCGACCCATGACCTGCAATTCGGCGCCGTTTGCAATCATCCCACGCTCGCCTTGATCGTTGCTTTATGCACGTCGTTAAAATGAGAGTGAAGGCCCTCATTCGCTCTTCTTCTTTGACACACGAAATTTTGTCTGAAATAAGACAAGACTTGGAACAAACTATGGACTTTATTTGGACATCAAATGAACTTAACTTGAACCATAATTTGAATAATAAAAAAAAAGAACTTGAATCAAGTTTGACTGTTAGGAGTAAATTTACTTGGACTCGAATTGACACTAAATGAAGTGAACTCAAATGAGCTTAAATTTGAACCAAAAATGATGATGACTCAAATGACCATGACTTGAACAATCTGGACTCAAGCAAAGCTTGACTTGGATCATAGAAGACTTCAATATAATGTGGAACTTAACTTGGATTTGGACATAAATAGAACCAACAATTGAATGAAGGACTTGTTAACTTCAACATGACTTGCAATATATCTGCAAGCAAGGATCAATGTGCAATGAATATGCTATGCATACGATATATTGTCTATAATCCAAGGCAATATATCATAATGAATTACAATGAACTTGATTGAACTCGAATGACCACAGAGGACATTGAACTCGAATTGTACAAAACCAAGCGAAACTTAGATTTGCAAGCATTGGACTCAAATCCGGATGAACTCAATATGATAACATGAGACTTGAATGAATGTAGAAGACTCATGCTGAGTTTGAACTTAAACATGTATGGAATTTGGACTCAAACATATATATATATATATATATATATATATATATATAAACTTGAGTCTTATACAAGGGAATTCCTGTATCCATATCACCAACAATGATCCGACTCCAGGAAGATACATCAAAGAAAAAGATAAATGTAATGTACATTGTGATATGTTCATAAACATGATGTGAAAAAGGCATAACAAATATAACACTTGCATTCGATCCAATATGTTGTCTACAAGAAAAATGCAAAGTTACTACGTTGATTGTGAATGCCCATTAGTAACATTTAACACAACACCCCTACAAACATATAGTTTTATGCCACAAATGATACGACATGTTCGTGAGCAAGATATGAAGGACATTCAGCAGATGAAGCAGCTACCTTACAACACTTCTATAATCAACATCAAAACACAAGCAATCATATTCAACCCTGCAAGCAATGAAATAGGATGGGATGTATAATTTGACCCCGAATAAATATACAAGCAATAATTCCTACGAGCATGAGAGGACATGCAAGTAGATGTGGCAGTTCACCAATCAACAATACATAAGGAAGTTAAGAACATATACAAGCACCTACAAGCTATGTTGTAGAAGATAATAGATGTTACATCATCCTTGTAGTCAACTCCTATATATTGTCAATCAAATATGTTAATCATTTGCAAGTAAAGATGAATGATATGCAGCAAATGCAGGCTCCTAGAAGAAAAAGCAGGAGATTCGTTAGTGTACTATGATCTACCTGCATAAAACATGCAAACAGGAGATTCGTTTGAACCCGATCCTCCTAAGCAGGTAAAGAGGATCGACAAGGTTCGACAAATAATTATAAAAGGGCCCCGAACACCTGCATGGTCCCTGGCGAGCATGTTATTGGTACACACGTGACATTTAAAGATACTGCGTGAGTTAATAAGTGAATTCAAGTTTGAGCTCGATCATTCTATACAGGTAGATAGGAGTCGACACGGCACGAACCATCAAATAAATATGCGGTCGCGAGGTTGACCGAAATATTTATTTTATACATTCATATTAGGCCTTCAAGACCTATAATTAAGATAATTCACTTACAAGGGCATAAGACTTACGAAACCCGATCCTCTGTCAACAATTCGACAGAGTCGACAAGGTTTAAAACATAAATATTTTCAAATGATCCCAAACACCCCGATGATGGCCGCGTTGAATGCAAATCTCAACCGGAGGAGTTCACAAATAATTCAAAATGCCATTCATATACCCAAAATCCAAATTTCCAAAATCATTGAAATCTAAGATATTTAAAATTGAAATCCAATCATTAATCACTTAAAGCAAAATTCACCCACCCTCCACAATAGTTTGCCGGGTGGACAAACTAAAATTTACTTCATCTCATATATAGCTAAATGCCTAATCGAAAATATCACTATGATCCATTCTCAAACAATCTTCTGCCAGTAAGGACGTGGTAAGTGTCCTATGACTGGCATTTTTTCCGCCAAATGACACCGCAGGATAAACAGTTATGACCCGGGGCCCTCTGAACCGAGTGGTTTTTCTGTCAAATGGCACCACGAAATACCGATTATGGTCAGAGCCAATACGTTTCTTAATGAAATCAAATCCTTGAGATATGAATTAATAGAATATGATCAATAGGGTACAAAGCCCTCTGTTAGCTAAGGTAGATTCAAATCTGTCCCCTTAGACAAGCATCTAACCCAGGTCAACAAGGTGCCCTTGGACGAAGCAACCCATGGCTGCCGACAAGGATCCTTCTGTCAGGTTGGGTCGACTACCTCCTCTGACTAAGTAGACTAAGGACCACGATGGCCCAGGACGCGGGAACTATGGAATCTTGATCGGGTCCATCAATCATTCCCCCACTATTCGCTTTAAATGCAAGATGATGAAATTTATATTTTAAATATCAAATCTTCCAACCCTTTAAACTTACAATTCTCAAGCCCATTGTTGCTACTATATGCCATATAACACGTACTATCTACGTATTGATTGACGACTAGCCTTAATCGAAAGTTCTCTCTCGCTACCGGGAGGGATAATTAGCTATAGGTGCTTGCG